AAAAATTAGAATAAACCTCCTAATTGTTTAAAAAAATTTCAATTTATTATGTGTAAAATGAAATACAATAAAGGTTGCATGGAAATACGAAAAGTATTTTCCACTAAACTATAAAGGAATTTATAATCTTAACTTATTAGCCAAAGGTACTTTATATTGTTGAACTTTGATAGTATAGATAACGGTTTAATTTCAATATTTTAAGCTTTAAGATTTTTTACTTATTTAATAATTTGTAAAAAAACGTTATCTTTTTTCAAATGAATCTCTCAAGTTTCAAAAGATATACCAAATAACTTTATTATTTCTTAATTAAAAATTGATTTTTAAGAGTTAATTGTTTACATAAATTCATTATAATTTTAAACTACATCACTATTTGACTATTTTACTCCCTATTAAAGACTAAGAATATCTGCTTTTTTAAAGTGCTTGTTGTTTATCAATTTTGGACCAATTTATTCTTTTACTTAATTTTAAACGTTTTCCTTAATATAAATATCTATTTGTACAATCATTAGTTGAATTCAAAAATTAATTGATACTTTTAATTAGATTATTTTTAAGAAATCAGTATCAACTTTAATTTAACTCTACTTTACTTCCATATGTTAATTTAATTATTCAATTAATTAATATCGTTCTTTTTGATAATCATACCATAATTGTTAAAACCTATCCAAAGTTATGTAAAATGTTGGAAATTCTTCAATACAATTTTAGCAAACTAATCTTTCTGGTGGTGTTTTTTTCCAATTTAAATCAACCATTATAATTTATAATCCTTTATGTTTATTACATTATAGTTTGAAATTTTCACATATAAAAGTTGGTTCCTTTATTATATTTTTATAAGATTCTTTAATTTCATTAATATAATTCTGTAATTCTATAATTATTTAATTTAAATTGCTTTTGATTTTTTGGATTAACTAATTAGGAATATTTTAAAAGAAATTTTATTTTAAACTTTCTTCAAGAATTTTATCCTTAAATTATTATTATTATAGGTCTTAGATGTATTTAAAAAACTAATATATATCATTCTTAGAGATATTTAAATATTATTTAAAAATTTTATTTATGAATCCTCAATTAACTTTTATTATTAATTAAAACATTCTGTATACCTTTTAATCAATTCAGAAAACTAAAGAGTTAACTCATCAAGTATTATTTTTGAATTTTTTAAAATATTCATTTTCTTTAAATGCTACTTTGAAAGTCCTCCAAAATTTTTGATTAAATTTAGCCCAATTTATGTAAAGAATCCTCAGTTGCCTTTAAATTATGCCTCATCTCATCAATGCATTAATAGCAAAGTTATTCATAATTCGAATTAGGTGATGATCTATAGTTAAAGATAACTTTTTGTTTATGTCTATCGCAAATATTTTTCTAGCTCTCCATTAATTTGATTTAAAAATAAATCTTTAATATTCTTATTAGGAATTAATATTTCAGCTCAACATATACTTTATTTAAAAGATCTGGAAATTTATAGCCAATAATTGTAAAGAAAAACAATTTTCTCAAATATAAAACTTTATTATACAACTCCCTTATTTGAAAAAACACGCACAGAACATTCAAATATACACTTTTCTGTATCTTGAAGAATATATAAAAATTTGATTGAAAATATTTTTATGGCTTGATTATTTCTTTTAATAAAAATATTCTAAATTAAAATCTCATATCAGAAGAACATTTAATAATTTGTTATAAAATTTATTAATCCAAATTTAATTATAAGATTTTAAATTATTTTATAAGTTAAAATCAATTATATATGTTATTTGATTCTAAGAATTTTACTTTTTTTGTAATATTAATAATCTATTCAAAAAAATATAACAAGTATCCTAATCTTTTTTGTTTTCCAAATTAACAACGATATCATTGTAGAAATAAAAGTGAATTCAGAAATCATAAGTGTAGCGTATTAACTAAATTAAAAATTATTATTTCCTAATCATATTATGTAATTCAATAAAATTTTATCACAAGAAGTCATAAAGGTATTATTTGTTGGTATAAAAAATTTTTGATTTGGTGATTTCATGTGTTGTTCATACTTTGACAAATAATAAAAAATATTTGAAAGAAGTAGAATAAAATCTTTCATTATATTCTAAAGATTTATTTTACTTAGATTAACCATCAAAGGTTTTCTAATAAATAATTTTATAAAAAATTTCTGAGATTATTTCATAAAACTTAATATTTGAAATTTTAATATTTAAATAATATAGCCTTATCATTTATTCATTTGTGACCTAAAAGTCACATTACAGAAATAAATATTGATTATTATTGCATATTTAACATCACATTCTTGTGACCTTGAATAGCGTTTTGGTCTTATGTAATCATCACTTTTCTTATGAGTCAAATACATTTTTATAAATATGAATTTTAAAAAATAAAACATTTTTGTTGACTCAAAATTTTTACTGTTGCTTGCATTATAAATCTTACACTTTTATTATTAACTTTAAAATAGTATCTCAAGCTTTCTATATTTGATAAAATTTTTCAGAAAAAATTCTTGCTAAAATTCTCATGCTATTATTACTCAATTTTTTAAGACTAAAATATAATATATAATATGTTTAATAGCTTTTTATATCAAACTCTTTAATATAAATTTGATAAATCAGATTAATTTAGAATATCTAGATTCTTCCTTATCATATTTCATCTTAAGATATCAATTGGAGCATATTTAAGTGTGTTCTCATAGAGTTAAAACAAAATTTGATAAATTATGTTTAAACTTAGATTTATAAATGATCAATAATAATCATGAATAAAAAAATAAAATTGTTATTTTATAAACTAACTTACATAAAATTCAAATTGTCTACTAAGTTATCCAAGTTTATAAAATTATCTGTTTGCAAAAATAAATATTTTAATAAAATTAATCTAAATTTCGACTCTTATTTTGTATAAACTTATAGCCGTAAAGTGATTTTTTGCAAAAGAAATACTCAATTTATTCTTAAATACAGACATATAAGTATTATTAATACAAAATGAAGTTCAGATGAATAAAAATCTTTCTCAAAAATATATTTTATTAAGAATGACTGGCTTTTTAAATTATGATTAATAGTAGTAATTGGGTGATGAACTATTTAAAGTGGAAATAGGAGTCATTTTCCTTACACTTTGATTTTTGATTATATTACTTTTAAAACTAATAATGAAATAATTCATTTTGTAAATTTTCAATTTACTCTAATCAATTTGAAATTCCTTTAATTTACTACAGTTATATTTAAATAGTTCAAATATTAATGGAGTAAACCTTATTTCCTCAATCAATGATTTTAAAAAATATTAAAATAAAAGATTGTGTAATTGAAAACTTAATCTTATTGGATTTAGGATTAAATGAAGGAGATTTAATTAATTTAATAACATCACTTTAAATTCTAATTTTTCAAAGTCAAAATTTATAATGTTTAGTCAATCTAATGAATTTGGAGAGATGAAAATGACAAATTTTAATATAAGTAGTAATATTTATGATTCTCAAGGTTTTTTTAATTTTTAAGGGATTTCTAAATTAAATATGAATTAATTTGACATGAGATCTTCAATTATAACAAAATCAACTATAATTTTATTAAATAGAATTAGAAAATATTGATATAATAGATAACTTATTCTTAACATCATCTGGAATAATTAATAGCGAATATAAAAATTTTTAAATTTTATAAATTTAATGTTCCTTATGGAGACTTATATGCAGGAAAATTTTACAACAAAATTAATGGAGAAAAATCAATAGCTAGAATCAAAATTTAAAAGATTAAATAGACTAAAAAATTTCAGTTGATATGACTAAATATTTTGAAATATTCTAGGTTTATTTACATTATCTCCTCTTAATATTGAATTCTAATTAAATCAATAATGCTAATCAAATTTAAATATTAAATGTTGATGCTTAGGATAATATTTTTAAAAATAATCGTCTTTATTGAAATAAAATACTCTTTGAAGATACAAAGTTATTAAATAATTACTTTTCATTTCTGGGTTTTTCAGCTAAATTTTCTTACTAACAGAATATCTAATAGTAAAAGAATAAATCAATATAAATACATCAAAAGCTCTATTGATTATTTTTTTCTAGTTTTTTGATACTTTACAAAATTAATAGATATATAATTATAATTAAAATATTAAAATTAAACTATGTTTCATAAGAGATTTATACTTTGGAAATTATGAATAAGTGATAAATGCCTTAAATTTAGAATAATTTGAACCAGAAAAATTTGATTCAGTTACTAAATTAATTATTTATCATCCTAATAGATATATTCGATTAAAAGATTTATATTTTGGATTGTAATCGTTTATATATGAATTTTTAATAGGAATCTAATTTTGTTAGGATATTTAGTTTAATTATTGTAAATAATACTATCATTCGTAAAAAAGGTTAGGCGTAGAGAAAGCTAAGGAATCGAGCATAATTATCTATATTTTAATAGAATTTGGTTTAATTTAGAATAAAACAGTTAATACCCAAGTCTGATTTATTCATTCTTAAATATTATTCAATTCTAATTACTTTATAATAAACTGTATAACTTAATGATATTTTTAAGGGATATGATCTAGTTCTAATATAAAATAATTTTTTTTTTTTAATTTCCAAAAAGCATTTATATTATTTATTCTCAAACCATCGATTTCTAAATCAAATTAAATACTAGTTATTTTCTAAACTTGTAAAATAATGATTTTTTTAGGAATTCTCAAAAATTAAGGTTATTTTTTATTATCTTTTTAACAGTAAAGGCTTTTGGAATTTTAAATTTACTAAAAATTGCTTTTATCTAGAATAAGCTTTATAATACTTAAGAAAACTCAATTTATTTAATTTGAGTTTTAATTTGTGGTAATAATAAAATTTTTATAAATAAATTAATTTAGTTGCTTTTTCTTCTTAGTCTTTAGAGGGATTATTGTTTAGATAAGTGATCTCCAACTACAAATAATCATATGTTTTTAATTGAGCCTTGTGCAATTAAGTTTAATAATCTAAATTTATTGAAATTTTTAAATTTTAAGGAAGCATATTACTACAATTATCTAATACGGATTAATGGGTAAAATAAACATAGTTCATATCAAATGCTTATCATATACTGAAAAGGAAGATATGAAATTAAAACTAATAAATTTATGTTATGATATTAATTATCCTTTATGAATAATTAATTCATTCTTCAGATTAGGCTTAGATATCCAATAAATATATAAACTTATCTACACTACAAGATGCTAATATGGTACCATCAGGAGAGAAGCATACTTAGTTGACATCATTAGTATGGACGTCAAATTTTGATTTTGATTTTCCTGTCTTAACATCCCATAAGCATAAGCGGATAGTCTTATCATTACTACCAGATGTTAATGTAGTGCCATCAGGAGAAAAGCATATTGGCTTTTTCTTATCCTGACGAAACATCCAATAAACAAATAGACTTCTCTACGCTTCCAGCTGTTATAAATGCACCATCAGGAGAGAAACAAACTGATTGGATCCCATTAGTATGAAAATCCAATTTAGCTTTTAATTTTCTATTCTTAATATCTCATAAGCGGACAAACTTATCCTCACTTCCACCATATGCTAATTTAGTACCATCAGGAGAGAAACATACTGAAGGATAACCTTCTAATTTTAATTGTTCTTCTCCTGTATTAATATCCCATATGCGGACAGATCTATCTACACCACAAGAAGCCAGTGATGCACCATCAGGAGAGAAGCATATTGATAGAATAAAACTACTATGACCATCAAATTTTGCTTTTTATTATCCTGTCTTAACATCCCATAAACGGATAGACCTATCTCCACTACCAGAGGCTAATGTAGTTCCATCAGAAGAAATATACCTAGTAGACTTAACAAGTATGTCCATCTAACTGTTATATTTATTACCCTGTCTTAACATCCCATAGACGAATAGACAAATCGTAGCTACAAGATGCTAGAGTAGTACCATCAGGAGAGAAGCATACAGAATAGACAATACTAGTATGACCCTCCAATTTTTTCAATTGATTAATTGTTTCAGCTTTGAGGAACATTAAAGCCAAACTCTATTAAAATTTATTTTTATTCAAAATATGTTTTATGTTTAAATAGCAAATGATACACTATTTGTTGAAATCGGCAAAAATCAAGATAGGAAATTCTAAAATTCTTCAAAGATTGAAAGTACATTAATTTTGCAAAAGAATAGTTTTACTATTGTTCTTAGAGTAAAGTTAAACAAATATAAACATTTTCATTTGACTATTGATTTATGTTGGCAAATTCTTGTAAGTGATGAAGTATTAATTGTAAATTAAATAGCGTTTTTTAAACAAATTAGTCATATTTTTCTTGTATCTCCATATATTAAATAATACTTAGTCAAAAAAAATGAAGAAAATTATGGTGAAATAACAATAATTACAATAAAAAATGATGAAATAAATATAGATTGCCATAATCAATGAATTAGAGTATCATATCTATAAGCTATATTAGCTTCTATTCAATTAATTCCTGAAATGAATCAAGCCAGGACTATTGTATATGCATAGATTTTGATTAATTATTAAAGAATAAATATATATTAATGTCGTACTTTTAGCTTCTAAACGATAATAAGTCCTATATATTTTCAATATCATCCAATAAAATAAGAAATATAAACCAATCATATGAATGGCATTATAAATAACAACATTCATAGAATAATGAATTTGAAAATCAAATAAATCTTTTATTGTTAGCAACTACTTTTAAGCTAAAGTAGAATGAATAATATTTTAAATTAGATTGATATTAGCACTAATGCCGTTTATATTAATTAAGATACCAAAATTAGAGTAATATTCTCTATTCGATATAATTAGTTTTGAAATTAATTTTTTAGTAACTTTTAATTCATTTAATTAAACATTACGCCTTACAGAAATTATATAGAAATAAAAGTCCTAAAAATAATTAAAATTAATTACAATAAACTAATTGCCCTATCATCCAAATAATTTTATCCTATTGCAGAAGAAATGTTTTTAAAACACACAAAAAATGAAAAATAAAAAAATGTGAATGAAATAGAAAAAGTCGAAGTAAAGAAATCGTCAAATAGAAAATTATATCTAATCTACCAAATATTTGAAATCCTTTTTCTAACAAATTTTTATATTATCATTCTAATTCTGAATTACATTTTTCGAGAGTAAAAATCAAGATAAATGTTAATTTATTTTTTCTTCTTTTTTATTTTAGCCTCCTTTTTTCATTAATCACATTGAAACAAAACTTTACTTTTAGAAAATCATTTAATGAAAATAATAGAGATCTCCATGTTCTAATTTTGAAAAATTTTCTCCATATTCATATCGGTCTACTCTCTTTATAAATATGAAAAATTAAATATCTTTTTTGTCACAAATGTTACCTTACTCTAAGCTCTAGCTACAAAATTAACATATTATGTTGTCCTTACTAATTGATTTGAGTCTCAGATCCTATTCAAAAAAACCATTACAAATCCATGTTTATAAATACATTTATTCAAAGAAAGAAGAGATGGCAGTTCAAATCAAAATTTTTTCTAGAAGTGTATACATTAGTTTTATTTGCACAAATAAAAACTTATTACATTGAGAATATGTGGTTGTATAAATTTTAAATCACCATATCTAAATTATTAACTGCAACATATCTTCTAATTATTATCGTATTTAATTTATTTTAATTATTTAATCTAATATCTTCTCATCTTCTAATTCAAAAATATTTTAATATCGCAATTTATCAATAAAGATTATAGTGTAATCAAAGAATATATAATTATCAAATTTTCCTTGGAGCAGTAGGTTTAAAAATAATGTCCAAAATACATATCATTTAACAATAAAACGCATATAATTCATAAATTTATTTTATCTATTAGTAACCAAGATAGTGAAGTATACTGTAGTTTCAGGATATGGTGAGCTGGTAAATCCACTCGATTGTTTTATAGATTTATATGTTTTTTACATTTAATTAAGAAAAACAATGACTAACATTATTTCTAAATAAATATTCATTCTTTTAATCTTTTTGATTGCATTTGAGGTAATAATATTGTATGGATTAGTTAAAATTAAAATACTTCCTTCTAATCAATATTTATAATAAATTTTAAGATTTATCTAAAAATAGGAAGAAAACTCGTTTATTTATTAATCATAAATGGAATAAAACATTAATCTTTCAAAAAAATAGCTTCAATAAAATGTTCTAAATTTAAAATTGTTACTTGTTGTTATACATGTTTAAAATATTTTTAGAGATCATATATGCAATTCTGATCACTTAGATCTTGATAATACTACCAAAATAAATTATTGTATTAATGAAACTCTATATAAATTTAAGAAGATAACTCTTGAAGATTATGAATTTATCAATTGAAATAAAGAAGCTAGGATAGGAACTTTTGAAGAAGCTTAATTAGCAATAGATTATTAATTACAAATAGAAATAATTATTCTAATTTTAAATAAGAAAAAGAATAAATCAAATTACAACCAAATTTGAATCATTCAAACATTATATAATTATTCAAAGATAGAGAAATAATATATTCAGCCCCTTGATATTTCTCAAATGGTTCTAGCAAATGATTATTTCTAGATTATTAATATTATATTATATATTAACATGTATGTTATTTTTTTTTGAGTCTCGATTGATAAGACATTTAACTTTTTAATTTATTTGAAATTGAATTGTATAATTATCGAGATGGGAATAATTAGATAAATCCTATTTTGTAAAATACTTGACAAAACCAGAATTAAGCTTTCTTTAATTATTAGTAATTGAAAAAAAAGTAACTTACCAGATTAAGCTAAAATATCATGTTATTCACAATTAATTATAGTTTCTTGATTGAAACATCTAATTATTGAAGATATTAATCTATCTTACTGTTTAAAAATTTATTTGAGTATATAAAGTAAAAGAAATGATTTGAAGATTTAAATTAAATTTTCAGGTTTTAATTCTATTAAAATTAAAACATAGAGATAATTTTAATTACTCAGAATATCAAATAATCTCAGAATAATCTAAAATAATTAAATTTTATCCTAACTGTTAAGTGACTTTTATAGTTGAAAATTTTAAATTTATTACTAATATGATTTAATAATCTAAAAATTGCTCATGAATTCAAATAGATTGTTAAAATTTTTGCTATGAGAACTCTTCTTTTTTTACAACATTTGAATATGTGCCAACATAAATAATATACAGATAACTAATGTTAAGAAAAGATTACGATGAAAACTCTTGCCATACAATCCATTCCCCAAACTTTCCTTCTTTTTTATACAGCCAATCCCCATCACTAAAGTTGAAATCTTACATAAAAATATTACATTAATTCATATCGTTTATTAAAATAATAGTATGCATTCCATTTCTCACATTTAATACCATTTTTATATTTTCCTTTATAAAAAATTTAAGATTTACTATTTTTTATAAAAACAATTAATACTCCCAAAATGTTTCAGAAAGTTCTGTCCATAAACCTTCTTTCATTCCATTCTTATCGTATCTTCCATAATCTCTAAATATAAAGAATTGATTCTTCACATAAATTTAATACCACTCGATGAGTGAAAATGAATTTCCCATTATCCTATTTTAATCCCTTCTTAATAGTTTCCATGAAACATCACTTAGCAACACCTAATTAAATTTATATTAATTATCCAACTCCCAATATTTATCATACATCTCAACCCATTATCCGAACTTTAGACCTCTCTCGTTATAATTCCCTCCACCACTAAAAAAATATTAAAAATTTTAAATTACATTATATTTTTCTAAGATTTAATTTCCCATTTTCCAATTTTCATTCCATTATTATATATTCCTTATTAAAAAATAATAGTTGGACTAAAATAAACTGGATAAAATTATAATGATTAACCTTCTAAAATTCTCTACTTCTAACCACACACCTGTTTTTTATCCATTTTAATTAAAATTTCCTCCTCCTCTATATTTTATTTAGTATTGATTACATAACATCTAAAATATCACAATTTATAATTTCCCATATTCCAATTTTTAAACCCTCTTGGTAATTTCCAATGTAAATTATTTAACATGGATAATAGTACGAATGAATAATTTAGTGTAAATGTATACCTTGAAAATTTTTCATGATATTCTATCCATTTACCATTCTTTCTGCTCAATTTATCATAACATCCTAATCCACTATAAATTATACAAAATTATTTTACAATAATTTATATTTATCGTCCTAATATCCCTTTTGAAAAGATTCCCATAAACCAATTTTTATCCCATTTCTGTATTCACCTTTTTCTAAAATCTAAAATCCACTAAAATTACATCCATATTTACTTCCAAAAATTTTCTCCTTCTTCAACCCATTTTCCATTTTTATTACCATTTCTGTCGTATTTGCCTCCTCCTCTAAAATCAATTTAAAAGTTTTACATAATTTTAAAACGATTATCAAAGAAGCTTTAGAAATAGATATCCCACCGCCCTTATTTTAAACCATACTAATATTCTCCTCTATAAATAAGTTGTCTCCCACTTTGATATAATTAAATTATTTTACTCATAAAAGTTTCTATCCAAATCAAACCAAAACCCTTATTTAATTCCAAATTAATCAAAATAACCTTCTCCACTTATTGATAACAATTTCAACTTCTTACATAAAAGTTAATTATTTTTATTTTTAAGCAAATTAGTATGTGCTCCATTTTCCCTATTTTATACCTTTTTTATATTCTCCAACATAAGTCACTTATGATTTGCTAAAATAATTTTTTTTAGTTATCTACTCCCAAAAATTTTCAAAAAATTCTATCCATTCACCAGTTTTTAAACCTTCATCATTATAAAATCCTCCAACTTTTAAAATTTAACCTTTCCATGAAGCATACCATTTTCCAACTTTTCTTTGGTAAACATATGATCCATGCCATCTTAAATGTTTAACTTATTCTAAATTTCTAGTGTTTTATAGAGTATTATTTATATCTCTATTAATAATAATTGAAAAAGTTACTAATAGAGAATGCAACCATCCTATAAATATATAATAGTTCCATCTTCTTTAGTCTTTGCACTAAATTTTGCACCTTTAAATAACCATTAATTTATAATGCAGTAACTTTCCATCCCATCCATAGTTATAAACTGATTATTTCTTTCTTGCAATCCATCAGATTTAAGACTATTTTTTAAAAAATTTCTAACAGAATTTATTGCTCCAATCATTATCATTATTAAATTAATTATGTTTATCAAAAAAAGGATATCCTATTAAAAACCTATTCAGATCTAGAAATCAGGCTACTTCTTTTTAATTGACTAATATATATAAAATTAAGTTTATTTTCTGAAGCAAACTTTTTCTAATAAAATCTCAACTCACTATTTTTCAAATAAAAAGAATAAAAAATTTAATTCAAACCCAATTTATGATTAATCTTATAAACTTCAATCATCCAAAACTTCATCAATTAAATTAATTTGATTTCCATCGACATTGTTAATAATAACAACATATAATCTGCTCTTTTAACAATTTAAGAAATAGAAAAAAATATGTAGTTGAGTAGATAGGATATAAAAGATATGAGAGATTTGGACAGATGGTGACAAACACGATAGTGAATGGGTTGATAATAAATTTGTGGGAAAAGCGGATAAATATGGAATATAATTTATGATATGGAAAGATAATATTTGAGTAAAGGTTTTTGGAGAGTATTATTGGGTAGATGCGAGAAAAAAAATTGTAAGAAATTGTATACTATATTAGGAAAAAATCGAAAATTGTATATAAATCAAGTTTTGAAACAAGTACTTTAGCTATTTAAATACTATTTTTGATATCAATTTTTGAGTTGATTAAAATTAATCCAATTTCTGATTCTTTTGTAAATCACCATAGATATTCTTAAATTAGGGGCAAAAATATTAATCTAATTATTTCAAAATTTTTATCATTATAAAACTATTAAATTTAATTAACGTAATTCTATCACAAAACCCATAAAATGATCGAATATTTTTTAATTAGAAATAATCTTTTTTAATTTTTTTTAGTAACGTTTTAAATTAATATAAAGATATCCATTCAGTAACATAAACAACTAAATGTTTTATGTTTAAGTTTAAAAGGCCAATATGATATATAGTGGGAAATAAACTTTATTTATGATCAGCAGTTTTCAAAAGCTTAATAATTTATTCATATTCATTTTTTATTTTTAGAAACTATATTTTATAAATCTTTAATTAAACTATCATATCAGT